TCATGTGGTGCTGGCGTGCACACTGTGTGCTGCTCAGGGCTCAGAGCCATCTTCATCCATAAGGCATCCTTACTGCTCACACTGGTGTGAGACCTTGCAGTAGGTCCAGAGATCTAGGAGGCAGAGCCATGTCCCGAGTGCCAGAAGTGAGGAGTGTGATTTGTACAAAGCGCTGTGACAGTCCAGGAAGGGAAGGAATTTCCATCTGCCTGGGGCCCTCACAGGAGTCTTCTTGGAAGATATGTTTATGCCGGGTCTTGAAAGCCGAGTAGAAATGAAGTAGCTGGGATGGCATGGGTAGAAAGGGAAGACCTATCTTTGGACCCTCTCTGGGGGTTGTAAACCCTCAAAGGGTCTTTGACATTTTTTTAATCGCTCTCTGATAATAATACAAACATGAACTTTCTCAGCTCCCTCCTCCTGATGAACTTCATCCTGACCACCTACCTGATATCTTTACCCTAAATACATACCCAAAGCTGAACCTTCCCCTGGGGGTTCTGGGCCACCTCCTCTCCCACTCCCTCCTTTCCATACCTTCCTGCCTCATTTCCAACCTCTTATCTAGCCTCTAAACATCTTCAAATCTCTCTTTTCTTCCAAAACAAAGCAAAGCAACAATAAAGAAGAATTCCTTAGCAACTCTCAAGGGAAAAAAAAAAAAAAAGGCCATCTGGCTACTATCCTCTTCTTTCCTGCCTCCCCGTCTCATACAACCTGCTATTTTTGCTTCTGCTTCTGTCAATTCACTGTAACCTCGTCCACCAGAGTCGTCAACAAGGTCCTGGTTTGTTCAGTCCAAATTTGTTATTCTCTTTCTTGACCTGCATTCTTGCTCGCTGGTTCATGTTTGACCTCTTGTTCTCGGCCTTGACAACATTGATCACTGTTGACCACTCCCTTCTTCCTAAAATTCGTCTTTAATTTTCATGACCCACTTTCTTCTGGCCTCTCATGAGTCTCATACATGGTGCTTTTCTCTACCTGACCTTAAGTGTTGGGGCTTTTCTTCTCTGTCTTACACAATCTCTGATACTGATCTTGTCCATTCGTATGGCTTCCCCTGCTACCTATCTGTTGACAACCCCCAAACTTTAATTTCTGCAATCCCAAATTTCTCTCCTGATCTCAGACCCAAATAGCCAGCTCACCACTTCCATTTTGGATAATGCACAGATACCTCATACTTGACATGCCTCAACCTGAAAAACATCATGTTTTTTAACATATGCTTCCTCCCTAAGTCTCTCTTTTGGGGAATGGTATCACTTCCTCCTCCTGTTATACTAGTTTTCAATCATTGATTTTCCACCTTTAAAGATTTCTTGAAACTGTCTCTTCTTCCTTGTCTCTACCGCCACTTCCTTAGCACCACAGGTCTTAGCATAACTGCCTCTTAACGGATCTTTGCGCCTCCATCCTTGACTATGATCCTATTCATTCTCCAGAATGTCGCCAGAGTGAGCTTTCTAAAATGGAAAGATAATCCCATCACTTGTCTGTAAACTTTCCTCAGTGACTCCCCAATCATCTATACTACAGTTTCTCAACTTTGGCATAACTGACATTGTGGGCCAGCTCATTCTTTGCTGTGGAGGTATTCTCTGTCATTGTAGGATGTTTTGCAGCATCCCTGGCCTCTACTCACTGGATACCGGTAGCATCCCAGCACTACCACCCAGTTGAGACAACCTAGAATGTCTCCAGACATTGACAGTTGTCCCCGGGAGCATGGAGAGTAAAATTGCCCATTCGAGAACTAGTCATCTATAGGAGGGAAAAAACCCAAGTTTCTTAGCATGGATACAAGGTCCTTTATGAACTAACCCCTCCTTGCCTCTTCAGCCTCATCCAACCCCATACTGCCCCGGTGCACTAGGTCTATCCGGAAATCCTCTAGCTTCCACCCGCTACTCCTTTAGCTTGACTCATTTTCTTGACCCTCAGCTTTTAGTCCAGAAGTCCCCACTCAGACATAGTTCTTGACTATTCTAGTCAGGATCAGGGGCCAATCTCGCATGCTCTTGTTGAACTCCCTGCTTCCCTCTCTTTGTTCATCATGTGGTATCTCTTTGTTGGCTTAGGCCCCCCCACCCCCACCCCCACCCCGGCACCATGGAGAGAGCTGGATGGCTGTGTCCTCAGCACAGTGACTTACTACTAGAAAGCACCTAGTAAATGTCAACTGAGTGGTTGGCTGTGTCCTCAGCACAGTGGCTTACTACTAGAAAGCACCCAGTAAATGTCAACTGAGTGGTTGGTGCTCAGTAAGTCTTTGTTGAATGAATGAATAGTCCTTGAAACAACTTCTTTTCTCAGCTCTTTCATTTTCAACCATTCCATCCTGTTTATGTAATTGAAAAAAGCCAGTTGGTCAGTAGGTCAAGAAACAGACACCTCCCCCACCATCCCCCACAGCAAGAATCTTAAGGAATAAAGTATGGCAGTTCCATAAAATCTATGGTAGTCTGCTTAGAGTGAAGGACAAAGTTTTACGTTGTGGTTGGCACTAGAAAGCCAGGAGCAAGAAGTTGGGCTAAAATGGGAAAGTGGAAAAGAGACACTACATTTTTCTACTGCAGCATATGGATTTCTCATTAGTCTATGTAAGGGAAAACTGGGGGCGGGAAGGGGCCAGCCACTGCAGCTGTCCACACTCTCTCCCCCCATCGTTCTGCTGCCACCACACCTGGTCCCCAGGGACACCCTCACTTCTTAGCTATGTTGGCTTAGGTATGGACAAATCCCCTTGGTTCAGCAGAGACTAGCCTGTAGTTTTTCAAAAGACACTTTGCTAGGAAACTAGTGGAAAACAAAACAAAAGTAAAAACAGGAAATACCATATAGAAATTATGAAAATAGAAGTACAAAAAGAAAAATAAGTGAAGAAAGAAAATCTCTTAGCTTAAGATAATTGAATTTTACTATTAGCTTTTCTTGACTCAGTTTACCAGACACGTTTTCCCTGTTTTGTTTTTTTTTTTTTTTTTTTGGTTTGCATTTTTGGTCTTTTGTTTTGCTATGGTCTTATCTTCCTCTTGGGGATCTTCTAAAGTTTCCCTTTTCAATCTTTAAATATTTCCCTTCTCTCACTTAAAAATCTTATCTGTCTTAATCTAGGAAGGAGTTGGAATTGATGTTACAGTCAGTTTCTTTTAAAGACAGCAGGTGTGGGCAGGTGTGGACAGCCTGGGTGGCTCAGTGGTTTAGTGCCGCCTTCAGGTCAGGGCCTGATCCTGGAGACCTGGGATCGAGTCCCATGTCAGGCTCCCTGCATGGAGCCTGCTTCTTCCTCTGCCTGTGTCTCTGCCACTATCTCTTTCTCTCTCTGTCTCTCATTAATAAATTTTAAAAATCTTTTTTAAAAAAATAATAACGACAGCAGGTGAGTGGTCAGATGGAGACCGAAGCTTTTCTGTCTTTCTCTAGGGGTAAAATAGCTCAAGGGTTCTGCACACATCCTAGGCCCAATGCTAAGCATTCACAACAAAGGTTTTACCTGCCTGGAGTGAAATGAAAAACAGTTGAGGGGATCCCTGGGTGGCTCAGCGGTTTAGCGCCTGCCTTTGGCCCAGGGCGCGATCCTGGAATCCCGGGATCAAGTCCCACGTCGGGCTCCCGGCATGGAGCCTGCTTCTCCCTCCTCCTGTGTCTCTGCCTCTCTCTCTCTCTCTCTCTCTCTCTCTCTCTCTCTCTCTCTGTGTGTGTGTCTATCATGAATAAATAAATAAATCTTAAAAAAAAACACAGTTGTTGTCAAGAGTTTTTTAATAACACTAACAGACCAATCTTTATTCTAGGATTTTTTTTCCTTTCTTTTTAGGTATTAAATGGCAGAGGGTAGTTATAAGGTTTTGCACTTTTTTTTTTTAATGACATTTCTTGACAAAATTCAAAGTTGATTTTTCTCCATAGGTGCTCTCAGGTTTTGTTTGTTTGTTTGTTTGTTTGTTTTGGTGCTCTCAGTTTTTAAAAATTCCTCCTGGTCTCTGAAATCTAAAACTCCAGACCAGGACATGCTATAGTTAATTGCGTTTTCAAGGGCAAATGATACGGATTTTAAAGTTTGATGTTCTCCACCTGATTTTTTTTCCTTCTTTCTTTCAGAGGGTAGAGCATGAGACTCTTAATCTCAGGATTGCGAGTTCAAGCCCCACACTGGGCATAAAGATTATTTTAAAAATAAATAAAAATAATTTTAGAAAATAATGAGAATAAAGTTTGGTGTTCTCTTCCAAGGAACCAGGTAGTTACTATAATATACTCTGCATCCTAAATACTCATTTGTTGACTGCCTCTCAGTAAATGTGCCCATCAAGTACTAGGTCCTGGGTGAACACTTATTTGAGTAAGTCATTGTTCCTGCCTTTGAGAAAATCTAGAGAAACAACTTGGGGTGTAAACAGTGGTGCAGGGCATTCTGGTAGCCAGGGAGAAGAAAGTGCCTGATTCCCCCTTGGACAGCTTATGGCGGAAGTAAGGTTCTGCCCAAGGACAAGCCAAGGAAAGGCATTCTAGGCAGACATTTGCTAAGCCTGGAGACTTGAGTGAGCATAGCAAATTAGGGGAACAGTTGGGCAATGTCAACATGGGAACGTGTGTGAGAGTAGCAGATGAAGCCTGAAAGATACTACCCAGTTTTAATTTCATATTCTACAGCTACATGTGACTGAATGTATGATCTTCATACTTGAGGCCTGAGCAAGAAAGCTACATCTTTTTTTTAAGATTTTTTTTGGGGGGGGATCACTGGGTGGCTCAGCGGTTTAGCGCCTGCCTTTGGCCCAGGGTGCAATCCTGGAGTCCTGGGATCGAGTCCCACGTCGGGCTCCCCGCATGGAGCCTGCTTCTCCCTCTGCCTGTGTCTCTGCCTCTCTCTCTCTATCATAAATAAATAAAAATAAATAAATTTTTAAAAAAAAGATTTTTTTTAAGATATTTATTTATTTGAAGGAGAGTGAAAGTGAGAGCACAGAGGAAGAGGGAGAAGCAAACTCACCGCTGAGCAGGGAGCCTGATGTGGGGGCTTGATCTCAGGACCTTGGGATGGCAACTTGAGCTGAAAGCGGACACTTAACCAGCTAAGCCATCTCGGTGCCCCAAGAAGGCTATATCTTGCAATGTTGATTCACTAGCCTTCCCTCACTTTATGGTTTTTGCAAATGCCACTGAAACTTATTATGTGTAAATGTCATGTGCTTGGACTTAGAGTTCACCCCTGGAGTACAGGACAAGGGAGACCTGATATAGCCATTTTTTAATGATCACCCTGGGCCTATGATGAGCCTGGACTACCCTCAGAGCAGATGCTATCGGAGTGACATCTATGGAGCCTCAGACTCCAGACAAGCAGCAGAGGAGTCCTGGCCAAACCGAGCCTAGCAGCATCTGGCACAGTGCTCAGGTCTGGGCAAGTGCTACTTTTCAGGGGATATGTGGGTAAAATCTAGAGGGTGTCCAGAGGAGATGGCCTAGAAATCATCATACAAAGAGTAAAACTTGGGACACCTGGGTGGCTCTGCAGTTGAGCATCTGCCTTTGACTGAGGGCGTGATCTTGGGTCCCACATCAGGTGTCCTGCATGGAGCCTGCTTCTCCCTCTGCCTATGTCTCTGCCTCTGTCTCTCTCATGAATAAATAAGTAAAATCTTTTTTTTTTTTTTAAAGAGTAAAACTAAAAAAAGGATGAAGAGAGCTGCCTTTAGTTATTTTAGCAGAAATTTCTTGAGGGCAGGGGTCAGGGGGTGGCTCATTCTGGGTGTGACAATGGATCGGATAGAACTGAGAAATAATCTTTAAGAGGTTTTTTTTTTCCTAATTACATAGTGCTATGAGATTATTTTGACAAAAAATGGAGATATTTTGACAGAAGCAAGGTAACCATCTTCACCTGTGGAAAGGCTACAGCAAAGGCTCCTAGATTAAAGGGACAGTTGGATGTCTAGAGCTCCTTCCTTCTTTACATTTGATAACATTTTAGCATCTGTTCTGTTCTTTAAATATCTGACTCTTTCCTACTTCTGTCACCCTTATTTTTACATCAACTCAATTAATTGTTAATTTTCTTATTTTTTAGTATCTGACCAAAAGAATACCACAAAACCCAAGGTATCAGCATATAAAGTCAAGACTGGATACTGGTGAGTAAATATTAGAAAACTAAAACTTAAAAAAAAAAATTCAGCAACATTGCTGGCAAGAAGCAGGCTGTTAATGCCTGCTATCAGTCAAAGCTCAAAGTTTCTCACTTTCTTGCCCCATGGCCTAAAAGGCTCAAGATTTATCTTTGAAAGCTTTTTTTTTTTTTTCAGATCATCAGTAAAAATTTCCATTTACATAACTTAGCTCCTTATGAATTGAGAAACTGATGAAAACATGGTTTAATAAGCTTTAAGGCTGAGGCTAAATATCAGGGGGGTGGGCCTCTGTTTTAGAAACCTTAAGTATATTCCTTTAAATTCAGAGTAATAGGTAGTATTTGTGCACATTTGTTCAGTACTTGCAAAGTGCCAACTATATGCAAAGTTATGGACTATGGGACCTAGAAAGATGAGTGTGAATTGTGACTTTTGCAGTCAAAGAGCTTAGATTCGAGTGCAGGCAGACAGACCTGAATGAGTAACTAAAATACCAGACAAAACTCAGTTCATGCTTCAATTCAGGTAAAATGAAATTTAAGAGTTGCATTGCTTATTTCCATGCTCTTAACATTTTTCAGTGTCATGATGCAGACCACTCCCTAGGTCTCTAGTGGATTTGCAAGCTTGTGAGAGTTTGGTTTCTTACTCATTTCATTTTTCAACCGTTTGAAGTCTGCTGTGGCAAATCCATTCTGTTGAGATGGTTTTGCTAGTGGATTGGGGCACCACATGCCTTTGGCAATGCTGAATTTGCCACTGGTAACCTGAGGACAACTAGAGATATAGAGGAGATAGTGACCTGATTTAAATCTCATTCATTTTGTCTTTCCTTTCCTCCAGTCTTCTTTGAAATTACTGTCTTCCATTATGCAAAGTTCCTCATATAAAACAAACTTCAATTGAATGTTTTAAATGAACAATCTTTGCAGATACAATTTCTTGGGACCTTTCTTTCAAACATTTCCAAGCTGTACAGATACTTATCCTTGCAAATATCCTGTTTGACAGGAGGTAGAAAATTTTATCTCCGTTTTTGAGGAGGAGGAAATTGTGGTGCAGAGAGATTGTGATGTACTTGAAGTTCAATAAAAGGAGACAGAACAAGGATTTGCATGCAGGGTTAGGAAGCTGATGGCACACCTGGAGACCTGATGTGAAGCCTGGCCACTGTCTCTTAGGCCAGCTGTCCCAGCTTTTCCCACAGCCTCATTCCTTCTACCATCTCCATCTCTACCTGTCCCCCTCCTCCTTAACTATACCTATGACCCATTCTTCTAGAATAAGCTATTCTGTGATGGAAGCACTTTGATTAAAAATGCCATATTTTTTCTGAGGGGTCCAGATAACATTTAAAAGACAACTATAAAGGAATGCACTTCTTTTGGAACCTTCTTAAAATGAAAACTTAACAGCTGAGCTTTATTTCAGATACATAAATTTGTCTGTATCTTCATAGGTTTTTCTCCTGGAAATTGAATTGGGATTTGTGTCTGAAAACCCATTTCTTTCCCTTCAATTCCTCAATTCATAACCAAAAATTTTACTTAATAATAGATAGTACTTGAAATTAATTTCAAGTTTGAAATTGAGATACTTAAGTCTGCTTTTTATAATACATAGAAGTCATTGCCTGTATCCTTTTATGTCCTTGAATTTTTAACTAGTGTTTTTGCTAATTAAACTTGTTATTTTGAAGTAATTTTGGATTCACATGGAATTTTAAGAAATATTATGGAAAGATTCCATATACCCTTTATCCAGTTTCCCATAGTAACATCTTATGGAAATTATACAGTATCACAACCATGACACTGACATTGATACAAGTGGAGATACAAAACATTTCCATTGGGGATCCCTGGGTGGCTCAGCGGTTTGGTGCCTGCCTTCGGCCTGGGGCATGATCCTGGGGTCCTGGGATTGAGTCCCATGTCGGGCTCCCTGCGTGGGGCCTGCTTCTCCCTCTGCCTGTGTCTCTCTGCCTCTCTCTGTGTCTCTCATGAATAAATAATTTTTAAAAAAATTTCCATCATCACAAGGATCCCTCATGTTGTCCTTTTAAAAGCATATCTACTTTCTACTGTCATCCCCTCCTTAACCCCTGACAACCACTAATCTGTTCTCTGGTTCTGTAATTTTGTCATTTCACAGGTGCTGTAGAAATGGAATCATACAGGGGCCCCTGGGTGGCTCAGTCAGTTAAGCATCTGCCTTCGGCTCAGGTCAAGATCTGGGCTCCCTGCTCATCGGGGTTCTGCTTTCCCTCTCCCTCTGCTCCTTCTCCCTGCTTGTGTTCTCTCTCTCTCTCTTTCAAATAAATAAATGAAACTTAAAAAAGAAATGGAAGAAATGGGATCATACAATAATGCCACTTTTTTTTTTTTGAATTGGCTTTGCACTCAGCATAATTCTCTGGAGATTCATTCAGGTTGTTCCATTTATTAGTTGGTACCTTTTTATTACTGAGTAGTATTCCATGGTATGGAAGTGCTACAGTTTAACCATTTGTGTGTTGAAGGACGTCTGGATTGTTTCCACTTTTTGACCATTACAAATGCAGGTGCTATACACATTCATGTTTCAGTTTTTGTTTGAATAACAGACTTCATTTCTCCAGGATCAATGCCCAAAAGTGCAATTACTAGGTCAAAAACTGCATTTGCAGTTTTTAAAGAAACTGCCAGGGCAGCCCTGGTGGTACAGCGGTTTAGCACCCCCTGCAGCCTGGGGTGTGATGCTGGAGACCCGGGATCGAGTCCCACGTCGGGCTCCCTGCATGGAGCCTGCTTCTCCCTCTGCCTGTGTCTCTGCCTCTCTCTCTGTGTTTCTATGAATGGATAAATAAAATCTTTAAAATAAATAAACAAACTGCCAAACTATTTCCCAGAGTAACTAACTATTTTACATTCCTACCAGCAATGAATGAATGCTCTAGTTTCCTGTATCTTCATCAGTATTTGGTGGTATCGCCATTTTAAATTTTAGCCATTCCCATAGACGAATTGGGGCATATCATGGCAGTTTTAGGGTGTGTTTCCCTAGTGGGTAATGATGTAACTCTTCATGTACTTATTTGCCATCTGTATATTTTCTTCAGTGAAGTATACCTGCATGTCTTTTGCCTATGTTCTAATTGGGTTGTGTGCTTTTTAACTTGCTTGTTGAGTGTTCCTTATACATTCGAGCTATGGGTCCTTTGTTGGATGCATGGTTTGCAAAGATTTTCTCTCAGTCTGTAGTTTGTCTTTTCATTCTCCTGACAGGGTCTTTTGAATGGCCTAAGTTTTCAATTGTGGTGAAGTCCACTTTATCAGTGTTTTGTTTTCTGAATCATACTTTTTTTGCTGTCAAGTCTAAGAACTCTTTGCTGAGACTAGATCCCAGAAGTTTTCTTTTCTTTCTTTTTTTTAAGATTTTATTTATTTATTCATGAGAGACAGAGAGAGGCAGAGACCTAGGCAGAAGGAGAAGCAGACTTCCTGTGGGGAGTCATATGTGGGACCCGATCCCAGGACTCTGGTATCCTGCCCTGAGCCAAAGGCAGATGCTCAACCACTGAGCCACCCAGGTGTCCCAGATCCCAGAAATTTTCTATCAAGGTTTTTTCCTAAAAGTTTTATAGTTTTAGATTTTACATTTAAGTCAACACTACATTTTGAGGTAATTTCTGTATAAGATGTGCAGCTTAGATCAGGATTAGCCTTTTGTGTATGGATGTCCAGTTGCTTTAGCGCCATATGTTAAAAGACTACCTTTCCTGCATTGAATTTTGCATGTTCACCTTTGTCAAAAACGAGTTTGACATGTTTATGTGGATCCATTTCTGGGTTCTCTATTCTGGTCCATTGATCCGTATCTGTCCTTCTGCCAGTATTTCTCAGTTTTGATTAAAATTGATTAGACTGGGGCACCTGGGTGGCTCAGTGTTTGAGCATCTGCCTTTAGCTCAGGGCAGGATACCAGAGTCCTGGGATCAAGTCCCGAATCAGGCTCCCTGCAGGGATCCTGCTTCTCTTTCTGCCTGTCTCTACCTCTCTTTCTGTGTCTCTCATGAATAAATAAATAAAATCTTTTAAAAAGATTTTGGTGGGATCCCTGGGTGGCGCAGCGGTTTGGCGCCTGCCTTTGGCCCAGGGCGCGATCCTGGAGACCCAGGATCGAATCCCACGTCGGGCTCCCGGTGCATGGAGCCTGCTTCTCCCTCTGCATATGTCTCTGCCTCTCTCTCTCTCTCTGTGTGTGACTATCATTAATAAATAAAAAATAAAAAATAAAAATAAAAAAATAAAAAAATTTTGGTTAGACTGATTACTCCCATTTTGTTTTTCTTTCTTTTTTTTTTAATTTTTATTTATTTATGATAGAGAGAGAGAGGCAGAGACACAGGCAGAGGGAGAAGCAGGCTCCATGCACTGGGAGCCCGACATGGGATTCGATCCCGGGTCTCCAGGATCGCGCCCTGGGTCAAAGGCAGGCGCCAAACCGCTGCGCCACCCAGGGATCCCCCATTTTGTTTTTCTTTACAAATTATTTTAGCTATTCTAATTCCTTTGCTTTTCCATGAAAGTTTTAGAATTATCTCATTTACATTTACAAAAAAAGGCATTGCTCTGGTTTTGATAGGAGTTGCATTAAACCCATATATCAACCTAGGACAAATTGACTTTACTATGTTGATTCTTCCAATCCATAACTATAGGACAGTAGTCTCCCCCAATCCTCCATCTGGGATTTCACTTTCCAGTTTCAGTTACCCACCATCATCCACAGTCCTGAAGCAGACGCTCCTCCTCCTGATGGATCTCAGAAGGTCATAGTAGTTTCATGCTATGCCACAATGCCTGTGTCATTCACCTCACTTCTCGTCAGCAGGCATCTTATTATCTCACATCACAAGAAGGGTATAAAATGTTTTGAGAAACAGAGAGAGAGACCACTTTCACATAACTTTTATTATAGTATGTATTATAATTATTCTATTTTATTATTAGTTACTGTTA